CTTTGGGTTACTATTAAAAATGGAGTCTTTACACGCTTGTGGAGCGCGAATCGAGGAAGCTTGATCCCCTATTGCGGCGAGAATAAAAAAGATCTCCTCGTTCCCGTTATCGACACCGGCACACGCACCTTGAACTACTATGCATCCACGCAACGCGAACCGTTTAAGTCTCTGAGAGAACATCGATCTGTCCCTCGGATGATACTTCTCTCTCTCTCTCTCTCTCTCTCTCTCTCTCTCTCTCTCTCTCTCTCTCGGACTCTCCTCGTTTCTCTCTCATTCTCTGCATCTCTTTCTGTCTCTGTGGGACTCCATTTTTACAGATCATAGAGCAACCTCGGATGAAGTTTCCGCGTTGCTCGCGGCTAACGATGGAAACAAGTTTAATATCAGCACACGAGTAGACATTAATTCAGTGGCTGCGTCGTTGTTTCATTGGGGCACAGCACTCTGGGAAATAAACGTTTCATTCGATGATCGCGCAAAACCTTGGTACATTATTTGTGGATCTACAGTCTCTTTGTATTTGTTTAATTTTTATTTGAGAGGAATCATCGTGGACGATTGTTTCGCTACTTGACTGTACTTACCTTTGGAATTTTCGAAGTTTTTGAAAGTTCTGAAAGAGATTACGGAATTTAGATGTTCATAACATTTTTTGTCTATCTGGTAGTTTTTTTATAGTATTAGACTGTGTTGTCTTTGTTGATTATGTTTCTTTGGTTTCGTCATGTTATCGAGAAATTTGATTGTGGAATTTTTTGCAGTTATTTTGAACGAAATATATTGCAATCTTTTTAAATTAATTATTGATTAATGATCTCGTTAGTCTCTGTACAGGAATTGTACCAAGGTTTGCGTGTTAGATGCAATTTTTCAAGATTACTGCTATTGACACGACATCGACAGCTGCAGTACAAAGTACGAATGTATAAATTGCTTACAAACAGGAGCTGATAAGAGACAAAAATTTATTAGCCACTGTTTGTTTATGTGAAATTACACAGTCAGAAACAATATTTTTGCTGACAAAAAAGCAGATTAAAAAGATCCTTGTTTTCTGCTCAAGTTAATTACAATATGAAAATACATGCAAAATACAATTAAAGTAGAGAATTGAAATATTCATGTATGTTTCAGCTTCAGTAACAGTTTAAATACATATCGAGACAATATTTATATACAGGATGGAACGCCTAAAGCGTTGCAAGATATCAACATTTTCCAAGCCGCGATTTCTATAATCAAAATTCCAAAAAAGTAGATCATCAAAAATGTTGTAAAGGTAGCGACGATAAAGAAATAAATATCGCACCACTTACTACACACTTTCATTATTTTAATTTCATACAAATAAATTACCAAGTCACTGTAGATCAGATAAATGTGATTCATTATCGCACAGATAATAATTACCACAATCTAATCTATGTATATAAAATCCAAAGTATATCTATTTCCGCGCGTATCGTCCAAATCTTCAAGAAACGAATACAACATTTCAAATTATCCGAGGACTTGTTTGACAGCACTCGATACAACAGATACCGTAGACAAAATTCAATGTATATGTATAACGAAAATGTCTCTATCTTGTAACGTGTCGTGTATCCGTTCGTATGGACATTGGAACACGTTCCAGAAGGTCTCGATGCTACTCGCGAGATGATACACTTGGTTCCATCGGCGCACGCTGCGTCGCGGAGCCAGCCGATGAATAATTCCCTTCCTATCGATGTTCAGTCGCTAAATAAAAGCTACCGGCTCATTCGAGGGTGTTTCCAGGCAAATATTTTCTCTCGGCGTTTCACTCGGTGGTGGAGGAAGAGAGAGAAAAAAGAACGGGCACGTTGAATGGAAACGAACGAGCGCTCATGCTCGTCGGGGGTGTGTTTCGTGCGTTGCCGGGTTTAGGGAGCTGGGGACCGTGTAGTAACCGTGTCTCGTCAGACAATCGTTGCTCACGAGAGCTGTGAATGTATCGCTTAGAGAGTACTCCGTTACATGGATAAGCTAATCCGGTTCTTATTCGACATTCCAAGGACTTTCTGCACCGTTCACCATAAATCACCAGATATTTTGTTTGCTCCTAAAGAAAAAACCAACCTGGAGATAGTTGTTGAACATTAAGTGGTAGAATTTTTTGCGATAATGTGTTATATTTGGATAATCTGAGAGTTTGGAACTTCGCTGAAAATACTTGTATAAAAATGATTGCATTAAAGAAAGCTTATGTATATTTCTGTTGATGAAATTAGAAATTCGTGAACTGTAAATCGTGTCGAGTTGTGATATTAATTGGACCGAGGAGTGGAATCTGTAATTATGAAAAAGATTTCAGAACAGTTTCAGAAACATTAATCGACAGTTTTTCATTATTATAACGGAATAAATCTGTGGTTTAATTACTGTTATACGTAGAATGCATAATCAAAATCGGCAATAGATAGTTCTGAGATAATCGTAACAGATTAAAGCTAAACCATTAATTATCGTAAGAATATTTTCATGAACGGAATACATTCTATAAATATTCCAAGAAGTTAAAATATATTTGCCTCGTTTTGAAAAATGTTCCGTTGTTTATCGTTACATTGCACAACAACGCCCATTTATAGATAAGGGTAATCGTGGAAGAGAAAATTAAGATTGTGTGTAAAGTGTAATACAGTTTACAGTTCAACAAATTTTATCTCACAATTCGCATAATCTCATTCAATTGACTCGTATTTTTATATTAAAGAATGCAAGTGTCCGGTGATTTATGGACGCGGTTGTACATATTCGAGACGTGTTAAAGGGACCTCGAGTTACATTATTTTTTTCTTTACGTTTACTCGGTTTTTCCGATTAACCCTCGGTGACATTGTTTTCTTTACTTCGGCTCGTGTGTTCTTCGTTTCATTCATCATTAATAATTCTTAACACAACCGTAACAAGTCCGTATTAATCGTTTGGAGAGCTCGCTTTGCCTACGCACCGAATTTGTAACAGACTTTTGTACACTTTGTCGCTCGTCATGCATTCTTCTTCTTTTTCTTCTTCTTTTCTTTTTTTACTTTATTAACTGCACTGGGTTGGAGTTTGAACGACCTGTACCAGAACCATTGCGTAAAAGTAAATGTGTGCTGCACTTAATCCCGATGTACAAAGTGTCCTTGAACTCGTGATAACATATATGATCGTTATGTTCCGTTAATTTCCTGCCACCGTCCCTCTATTTCTTTTAATTCGCGCGGCAACAGAATATAGTCCGCGTTTAGCACTTGCGAATAACTTCGGTAAATCATGTTGACACGCGAACTCGTCGAACGACTGTTGCCTGCACGAGATAACCCGGCGAGTCGAGGGAAGATTCGTCTCGAAGTAGATTGCCACCAGAATTTATTAAACGTAATGGAGTGTTCTCTAAGGAGCGGGACTCTCGGATCGAACGAAATTCCGAGTAAATCGTGATAGATCGACGGTGCCCGAGAAAAATAACGTCGCTGACCGAGGAGTGGTTAATTTTATTGCTGTCCCGTTTTCTTTTTTCGTCGCTGAGCCTTGGAAATATTTACTCGTTAAATAAATGGCAACGGGGAATCGCGGAGTTGAACGATACTTTTATATAAACAAGGTCACGTTCGTTCCGAACAATTAACCGAGACGCTCTGTGCGTTCACGTCGATAACGACAACAACAATTTGAAAGGCAAATACCGGTGACAATTAGCAACGCACCGTTGCAATTAGCGATGGGATCAAGTTATATCAGACGCTGCACCGAAACATTATATGTTATACTACTGGGAGTTCACCAATTTACGAGGAACCTTAACATACGCGTTTAAATATCAAAACAAATTATTTCACGAATCATAATATCAATTGTTTTCTAGCCATAAAATAATATTCCGTTGGTCATGGAATAATGTTAAAAAATTGTTAATCGTTCAAAAGATGATACCGACAATGACAGGAAATTATTTCCACCAATAACTCACTGTCGATGTAATTCATTGAACGCGAAATTATCACCGAAATCCCTCAAAATTCTCTTCATTATTAATCACCGGGAAATCAATCTCGCGTGCACGTGAAACTCGATTCCATCGCTATTCCCAATTACGAAGTGGAACAGTTCGCGATTATCATGGGACACGAAGCGCGGCCGTGTCGGAAGTTCCTTCATTTCCGGTCTCAGGCATTTTCTTGGTCAGCGGGCGTTTGTAAATCGTGGCGAACCGCGCGCGCCAACCCCCACCCTCTTTCCCCACCCGTCGGGGACTGGGTCAACGTTTTTTATTTCTCCTTTTCTCTCTTCGTAGCCGTTCCTCTCCATGAATACAGTCGGGATTTCGATATCGATCCGTACCAACCCTGTCTCTTCGGTATACAGGGACAGATCGAAGGTGAACGCGCGAATTCACTCGGTTCGGTGACAGGGTTGAAAAAAAGGGGTAAGGAAAAGGGTGGGGGATGTGTCGAAAAAGATACAGGCGAGAAACGGTTTCGTGATAGAGGAATGGGGAAGAGGACACGGTGTAAATACATACGAATGGATCGCAGGATCCAACGACGTGGCACGTTGCTCCGTGAACAAGGGATGGTGAAACGAGGGTAGAAATTAGCGGGGTAAGTTTGCGAAAGAAGAGGCTCCTCTTCGGTTGACGTCGAGAGAATAGAGAGAGAGAAAAAAACAGTTAAACAGAGACGGTGGAGACGGCTAGAAGGGGGCAGAGTCGTAAACGGGAGAGAGAGAGAGAGAGAGAGAGAGAGAGAGAGAGAGAGAGAGAGAGAGAGAGAGCGAGAGAAACTGAGAGACTTGAGGGAACGAGAGGGAGAGAGTAGATGAGGAAAGATAAATAAAAAGTAAAAGTAAAATTAAAAAAAAAAAAAGAGAGAAAGAAGCGATCGAGCCGCCGTCGACACAGAGAGTGGGCCGCGGGCGGCTCGTCGTCGTAGGTCGTGTCCGGAGGCCAACAGTTGAAAGTGACTTGTCTTGTGTTGATGTTGCAGGTTCAAAAGCCTGGCACATGCGGCTGACCTTTGACCGGGTGCCAGGCGGCTGCAACCTTCACAGGTGCAAGCTGTGCGGCAAGGTCGTGACGCACATCAGGAACCACTACCACGTCCACTTCCCCGGCAGGTTTGAGTGTCCTCTCTGTCGTGCCACGTACACACGTAGCGACAACCTGCGCACGCACTTTAAATTCAAACACCCCGAGGCAAGAAAGATCGATCTAAACGATTTCATGACCGGCACCCTGGCGCTCTCCACGATGACTAACGATACCATGAACACGCTGTCCTAAAAATGCGCTAGAATACCGAACCGTACACGCGTCTGTATATATCTTATACATAATAATATATATATATACATATATATATATTTACACTTACGTAATAGGCGCCCCGAGAGCAAGAAAAAACCAGAAAAAAAAGTAACGATAAATAATATATATATATATCTATATTATATATAATGTATATATATATAATATAAATATACATACAAGCAAACAAAAATATATATATATATATACATATATATATACAGAGAGCGCGGGTGGCTGCGCTGGCAGGGGGGTATTGTCGCAAATTTCGAACACACACGATACGGCCCTGGTGTCACGGCCACGTGATATATAAAAATAAAAAGGCCGATCTCTCTCGGCTTTTTTCTTTCTCGAAACACCAAATCTTTTATAGGTTCTACGCTTATGGGATCGACATGATTCTCTCCTACCGCAAGGGGCGGGGGGGTGGGACGGGTGGGGGTAATACGGGGTTGCGAAACAGTTGGTGTGTGTACAGTTTTTAGTGTGCGACGTTTTTTGAAGTGGGCTTCGCCGTAGTTGTAACAATTGGACGGGAGATGCGGAGAACGTAAGAAAAAAAAAAGGAAGAGAGAAACGTTCTAGGGGAGATATTCGATTAGAGAGCTAAGTGGCAAACCAAGGTGCCACGCACACGTGAGCGCGCGCGCGCGCGCGCCCTTCTAAGGGACGCAAGGGCGAGTTCTCTCGAAGAAGATCGGCCATACAATACGGTTGCGCCGCGTGACCACGGGAACAACGATCACGATTTCTCCACGGAGCCGATTTACTTCTTTTTTAAAGTTAAATAAATACTGTTAATGTTAATGGAAAGAAGAAAAAAAATACGTGAAACACGATCGACGATGCGACGACGAAAAGTTCCTTCTTTCGATAACAGCCGGCGTTATGGCTGGGCCGTTTGTTGTTTGTTGTTGTTTTTCGTTCTTCCTCGCTGACGATCGGCGCAACCGCAAGCGAGCGAACGTACGAGCGCGGAGTCGAGACGAATCGAAGTTTTGGGCGCGGGTCGCTTTTCTCGGCTTCTTCACGCTCGTGGGAGAAAACGCGCTCGACGGTCCAATCGGTAGAACGCGAGTGCATAGCATAGAATTGTGCCCTCCAGAATAATAAAAATGGCGGGCGCGCGCGCGCACACACGTGTGTAACCACACGCCGGCTGCCGCCGTGCTGAAACAATGAGGGTAGTTTCGAACCATTGTCCAAAGACCGGGCAGCTTTATTTTTTTCGTGGTGAAGCGCTGCGCCGATCGACGATGAACAATACTAAAGAATGTTTTTATGCGTCGGGAAGAGTTCACGATTATTCGCGCATTATTATTATATTAATGGGAGATTTAATGCAATTACATATTGTTGCATACGCGTCTACGTACACACACGTGCGACATATACAGGGATATATCGTGTGGGTGATGTAGGAGAGAAAGAGAGAGAGAGAGCTAGGCGTTGCGTGGCCTGTATGTATGGGGGTGTAGGTGGACGCGCGTGTATATTCAAGTGGGAGCAAACGTGGTGCCAATTCCTCTCCCGTAGTTGCTGACCGCGCACGGCGGCTACGACGACCAACACGCGCCGCCGACGACGTCGCCGCCGTCGCCGTGTCCTGGCTGGAAAGAATTATAATTAATAATCGATTAGTTAATTAACTATTAATTAAATGGCGATTTTACTGGAAGTAATTCATTCGATACGCAGGGTGAGTCGTAATAGTTGTTGAAAGAGAGTTTATAGTTGGACTTCATATTAGAGTGTAAATCGTGTGGGGTTTCTATCGGCTAACAGGTGAACAATCGCCTGGCGATGTAATGTTTAACGGCCACGCGCGTGGAAGGCCCAGTTCGTGGGCTTTTTAGGGGGATGTTGGGAGTTCAGGTGGCTAGGTACGGAGAAATAACCGAGACACACACCCAACACGCAGACACGATACACAAAAACGGAACACGATCAGGTCCCCGCCAGGATTGGTGGCGGAAAGAAGTTTGATATACACACAGGGAGGACGTAGGTACATACAGAGGACACACACGTACGTATATATATATACACACTGTTTTTATACACGATGATAACGGAACACGCGCGCAGCAACGCGACACCCTCGCGTACTTCCGGAATCGATGGGGGTACGGCCAACACGCAATATTTAATCGACTAACAACGAAATCTTTTTTAGTCCTATGCATCGTTTCTGAAAGGTTTTTCCGTTTCTTTGAGCTTAGATAGATGAGAGTGAAAGAGAGGGAGAAAGAGAGATTGAGAGAGAAAGGGAGAGAGAGAAAGAGCGGCTTTGCAGTTCTAATATGAGTTCTGAACTATAAAAAAAAGAAAACGTGTTATTTGTTACTCGACACCTAAAGTTTATGAATGATATTTACGATTACGATTTACTATGCATACACATATTACATACACACAGGTATATACGCAACACGTAACAAACACGAGTATACACACACGACGCGGATAATACACGATATGCAGCAGATATGATTTGTGGAAATCACGCGAGACATTCCACGATTCGGGACTTAAGCGCATAGGCAGACACGCAAACACACGATAAGGATTCTTTTTTTTTTTTTTTTAACTGTATCGGATTGATTTGTAGTTACTATTCATAATTATATTACATATACGCTATACGTTTATTATTACGTTATTATAATGAACCGTTCGTAGTAATCGAGCTATTGGTTGGATGATATGGTTAACGTTAAATACGGTCGATTTTTATTCAACAAGGGCTGGTTACGATATTTTTCACCGCATCGTTACACGTTGATATTTAATTGGTTGGGGTGCAATCTGTTTGTTCTTTCTTTCTTCTTTTTGTTTGTTTTTACATGAAAGAAATTTATATAAATATATATATATATAAATATTTACTAGTTTACACTTTACGTTAATGATAAAAGGTTTACAAAGTGAACGTAAATTTAGAGCGAGTTGAAGAATTCCCGCGCGCGTGCGCATCTAGAATTTCGTGAACGTTCTCAAAGTTCTTTGTTTTTACTCAGAATTGGATAAAGAACTTTTTACGTTACTTGACTTCATTCTCTTCCTACTGAGATCGCACAAATAAAATACATACAGAGCTCCTAATAAATCTTACTTAAATTCGCTGTAACACAAAAAATCCAGGAAAAACGAGAATGAAATTAATTTCACAAATTGGCAGTATTCGTGATAATTCGTAGTTTTATTTTACTCGAATGATAGTAATCCTTTGCTCTTGGAATTTCTTACAATATCTATATATATAAATAGGAATATCCTAATATTCATCATACATTTCGTCCCTTCGGAGGGGACAATCGAGTGCAAAGGATTAACGAGAATGTATTTATTTATGGATTTCTGGGTCAAAATAATGCAATCCCGATGAGATTCTAGCAAGGCACGCGGTGAATTTTTTCGACCTACTATGTTACATATTATACACACAGACACACGTGCATGCCACTCGTATACGCGCATACACACATATGTACACTCGTGGATCTATGATCGCGTGCATGTATGTAGACAACGGACGGACGAACGCAGATGTACACGTGTGTTTCAAGCTAGAAAAGCGTGGATCGACATCCGAGTACTCCCACGGTACTTGCGTGTACTCGGTCCCGACGTACACGTCTACACAGAAATAACGTCGGGTCCGTTAGCTATTCAAAGAGCCAAACCGCTATATTGTGATCAAATGATATTACCGTCGATCTTCTCTCTTTCGCGAAAAGGGGCACTTTGCATAGTTAGGGCTATTTACCGAACACGCATATACCTATAATTTAACGATAATAATAAATATATATATATATATAACAAAAAAAATATATATATATACACACACAACCAGAATATTAATATATTACGCAGATGATTAAGTATATTAATTAATATATTGGATAATTTATTTTATTTTGTTTTACCGTTTTAATGATTTTATATATATGTTATTCACTGTTTATGTATTACCCACGCAACACTTGATACACAGATACACGCATATATATACATATATAATATGTATATACATATTATATATTTACAGTAACGCAGTATACGCAGAGTTTATTATTTATTAATCGATGAGGGGGAGGCGGGGACAGAATTGTCTGGGTACACTAGGTATATACAGGGCCTACCTTCGACCTGTTTTTCTTATTGTCTCCTCGTTTGCTTTTGCACTGGCTTTCGTTGTGCCGCGCAACAACGAGCCACCAACCTCTACTCGCGGTCGCATTTTTTATTTTTGTTTCCCTTTCCGTTCTTTATTTTTTGTTTCCGTGTTTTTTTTTCTCCACGTTACACCAAATATACCAGTTGCCCCCGAGAGTGTTCCGGGTACTCGTCGACGCGGACATGTTTCGAAGACGAACCAAGAGAAAAGAGAGAGAGAGAGAGAGAGAGTGAGAGAGAGAGAGAGAGAGAGAGAGAGAGAGAGAGAGAGAGGTATCGGACCGCGAGTGAATCGGATACTTTTTCGACGTTTCCGTCCTCCATCCTTGACGATTCGCCGTGAATCAATCGGAACGTCAACATCGGTCACTTTTAACATGGCTCCTGGGTGCTCCCGTTTTGTCCAACGCTGTTACCGTGGCTGCTGCAGCAACCGGTAAACGTTCACGGCCGCCATCTTTGTGGGCGAACTAGGTTACGTTTTATCGTCTCAAATTTGGCGTTTTATAGTTCCCGCGCGCAGACACGCCCCGGATGATAAACTTTCCGTCGAAAGGATGCGAAGGGCTCTGTACCCCTCATGAATTTTATGCAGTTTCGTGCATAATTATCCGAAGTTTTATGACCACCATAATAGACAGACGTCATTTTTGACGACCGTCCAGGTTTAGGGCTCGTTGGTGCAAATTTGAAATTTTATAGGTTCTGTAATCTATACTCGGAGGGGACATTTTCCGGCGAAGGAAAAGTAGTGTCTGTACTTTTCTGGAATTTTTGCAACCGAAGTTTCATTTATTCACTCGATATTTTCGTTGTTACGACTTTTCACACGCGGACGCCATCTTCGACGAACGCTCCAGTCACGGTTTCCAGGCACCGATCCAAAATTATGTAATTTC